TGGCAGGGACATTGCTGAGTGCTCAGAGCCACAGTCTGCAGGGACTTGGCAGCTCTGCCCCATCTCCAGCCCCAAACACAGCCCAGAGCTCTCCTCTGGCTTCCATTTCCCATTCCCCAGCACAAATTCCAATTAATAAGATTACAGCTTCTGGCTATGAAAAATAATAAATGTGAGGGACCATGGGGCATTTTGGGGGACCCTTTGCAGCACAGATGAACCAAAGGGGAATTACTCTCTGAGGCTGGAAAATCCTAGTTTAGGGAGAAAATAAATCCCAGCTCCTCCAACCACAGCAGCAAGTCCAGTACCGAACAAACACCCCCTTATTTCACATCATTGGGCAAAAATCAGACTTTTTTTTCTCAGACTTTTCAGTTAAACAACTTCTTCAGCCAGACAAGAACCATCTGCCCTCTTCCACCTCTGCTGGGATATGGGATCTGTGCTCTGAGGGTGATGGATTGACCAGGGAGCCAGCAGAGCCCCTGACCCTCCAACCTACAGCTAAAACCAGACAAATCCTCGGGAAGGCGCCTGCAAATGGATGGTTTTCATCTGCTCAATAACAGCCTGGTGTCCTCTTGGCTTCTCCGCAGGCTGATGCAACCGAGTTGTTCCTGGAGTGTGGCGGGGGCGATAACGAAGGATAAATCACCGGGGTGAGATAAGCACCCATAAAATGAAGTCATCTAAGGACAGGTCTGGACATATATATTTCATTGTGAAAGACCTCCTTTATTCCCACTAATGGAACAAGTTAAATCAGCCAAGCTGAATAAAACTCTCACGTCCCAAGACGTAACGAGGCACTTAAAAGTTGCGCGCTCCTCCGGTGGCGCTGCCCAATGGCTGACGGCTGTCCCTTGGGAAATGCAGGAGCAAGGACAGAGTTCAGGGGTTCTGCAGGTGACAGGAGAGTGTTCCCAGCATGAACAGAGTGCCAGCACTGTGTATTTCTCTGTGGCATCCTGCAGGCACACTGAGCAGTGACCCTGGGATGGATTTGAGCCACGTCCGGTGCATCTGCCCTGGGACAGTGTCACAGGTGGCCAGGACAGCAGTGACACCTCTTTTTCAGGAGAATTGGGGGTGATTTCATTGGTTTCATTCACACACTTCATCCTTCACCTCAGGGCACTGAAATAACCACACCTGGGCCCTTGCCTGCAGCACTGCAACACCCCCACACCTCCGAGCACACAAATTAAATCCTTATCACCACTGAGCAACTCAGCGCTGGGTGAAACCCAGGCACAACGTCACTGTTCAGCTTTTCCCTCTCCTCTGCCACCCAGGAGCACTCCCAGCCCGTGGGAAGGCAGGCAAGGCTGCAGGAGCTGCATTTTTCCTGCATCCAGCATAAATAGCATGATGGAACAATAATACCTAGATGGCGACTGGCAGACAGAGCAGAGACATTTATTTATTCTTGATCACAAACAATGTCCTGCATTGACAAGCTGAATGAAGGGCACTTCACTGATTTATTAGACCTAATAAGAAGCAGACCTCTCGGGATGAAATACAAGATTGATTTTTAGTGGTGAGCCTCGCTGCCATCCCGGGCTGAGCTCAGGCTGATGAGATGGAACCAGGCGTGCGCAGGGACACGGGGCTGACACAGCTCTGCTGGGGCAGGGGGACAGATGGGGGATTGCCATGGGGAGGGGGAGATGGAAACACAGCAATGACAACCCTGAAAGCTGCTCTTTCCTCCCTGCAATCCTCCTCTCTCCCACTGAGGCATCCCAAGAGCACCAAACCACTGGGAAGCCTAAGGGCAGCTCTGATGGAATTCCTGGGAAATCCGAGCCAGACCCTCCCCACAAACCTGCCTTCCAGAGGAGCCCCTCTCAGCACAGCCAGTGCAATTTCCACATCAGGCCCAGCCCCTCCTGGGCACACCGCATGAGCTGAGCTCTGTGGATGCCGTTTTCCATCAGGAAAAAGCCAACTAGCACAGCAGCGCTTAGCTTGAGGCCCTATTAATAGCAGTTCTAATTATATGGCTGCAAATTTAATTCGTGGCAATGATTAGTGTCAAAATCAAAGGCATCACGCATCAATATTGATAGAATTGTATGGAGCCCATAAACAGAGCAAGCAAGCTGACACATCTCAACCCAGCACTTTGTTGCTGTTAACTGTTGCATTAATGTCCCTTCTCATTTTGCTTGATGGAAGTGGTTTTATAGGAGGAATCCCCAGTTCTGAATGGTTGTGTCTCCAGCATGGGCCCCTTTTCCCTTCCTCCCACAGTCAGGAGGCTGAGGTGCTTTGGGAGGAGAGCAGGAGGGAGAATTCCATCCCACGTACCTGTGCTTGAACCACAGCACCAGCAGCATTTGCTTTTTACCCTCTGAGACATTCCTGGGGAGCAGAAGCAGCAGGAGCTGGGAATGTGGCAGCAGCAGCGAGGTGCAGAGCTGAAGGCAGGAGGACACCATGGATATCCCAGTGTTCCCAGTGAGGAATGCGAAAGATTTCGGAGCCATCTCCCTGACTTTCCTCCAGCCACACAAAAGTGCCTTCCCTGGCAGCCCAGACGGAGGCAGCAGCTTGTTTCCAAAGGAAATCAACAGCTGTGGGCGAGGGAATAGGTGTGACAAAGCTTTCAGACATTAGTGGTGTGGGTAGATCTGAGATGGAGGAGGACACGGAGGAGATCAGGTGGAGAAGGCTCTGCACCAATCCCTGGCACTCACAGAGGTGCTGGACGGTTCCACCATCATCTCACAGATGGGGAAGGGGAGATGAGGAGAGTCCTGAGCATCCTGAGCACTCCCTGACTTCCAGACAGGCCTGGTTATCTTGGAACAGGCACAAAATGCAGAGACAACCTGTGAACTTCCCTCCTCTGCAGCCAGAGCCCCTCAGCTGGTGCAGAGCTACTTCCTCCACCTCACCTGGGCTCCCTCAGGCCATGGAAAAGGTAATCCCATGTGTCAAAGGAGGGAAAAACCTGCTAAAAGTGCAGACAGAGCTGGGAGAGAGAGAGCAGCATCTCAGTCCACACAGGGATTGTTCCAGTTAATTACAGGGGGATGGATCCCACCAGCTGCAGGCAGCTCTGCTGTTAAATAAGGGCAGCTGCCATGAAAACCTGACTGTAGTGAATGTCTGGGATGAATTTACTTCAGAGATGGGCCAATTTTCATCCAACAGATGAAGGATTGCAGGTGAAGGATTCCACAGCCTCCCTCTGGACAGAGGAGCAGGAATAGATTAACTTTGCATCAGAAAGCGTTCAGTGCAACTAGCACAGGAATTAAACCCTGCTGGAGAGGCTGCTGCCTCTGTAATCCTCCATAATTCATGGAACAAGCCCGCAAATGCCTCGTGTGCAGGCACAGGCCCTTGGCTGCTGCTGAAAGAGGAGCCTCCCCTGTCCCCAAACCCTGCCCACAGCGAGCACTGGGCTGCATCCCCTGATGCATCTCCTAATGCATCCCCTGCTTCATCCCCTGCATCTTCCCCTGCTGCATCCCCTGCTTCATCCCCTGCTGCATCCCCTGCTGCATCTCCCCTGCATCCCCTGCTGCATCTCCCCTGCATCCCCTGCTGCATATCCCCTTCATCCCCTGCTGCATCTCCCCTGCATCCCCTGCTGCATCCCCATTCCAGGCTCGGCATTTGGGACGTGCTGAGGGTTCCTTTTCTTCCATTTAGCTGCAAACCCCCGGCTCTCCCCTGTGCTACGGCAGGCGAGTGCAGGGCTCTGCTTTACAAGCTCCCTCTCCCCCGCGTTCCAAATTGCCCCACTGACACTCGAGAGGCACCAGGGAGGCACCTAATTTACTACTACTCAGCACTTGTAAAGTGCAGAATGAATATTAATGAGCTGATGTAATTAAAATGATGCAGACGTTCAAGTGTAGTATCTGCCTGTCCTTGTATCTTCCTGGATAGATGAGGAAGAAATTCCCTGCTGCTTAAGGACTCAAAAAATTAACAGCCTGCTGTTGATTACATTTGTTAACTCTTTCCCCGGCGTGGAGGAGCAGGGGCTGCATTTAACAGGTTCACCTAATGCTGTCATTTAGAGCTGAGGTTAATTGGAAGGGTCTAGGTTGCCAGAGCAGCAGCTCCGGGGCTGTTTTGGCTGGAGCTGGATCAGACCCACTGCTGAGCTGGCTCCCAGCTGCAGCTCCAGCTCCAAAGGCCAGCAAGGGCTCTCTCACACCTCTGCTTGCACCCCAAGGCCACTTCCAGACTTGTTTTAAATGCAGAACTCCTCTGAGAGTTCCCTTCCAACTCAGAGTATTCTGTGGTTTTGTGACTCACAAGTGGCAAAATCCCAGCTGGGCTTCAAAGGCCTAAAAGTCATTCAAGGTCGGGTTGGACAGGGCTTGAAGCAGCCTGGGCTGGTGGAAGGTGTCCTTGCCCATGTCCCTTCCAACCCAGAAATGTTCTGTGACTCTCACCTGAGCCCCACCAGCCCCCCCTCGATGTTTGTGGTGCAGAGGACAAGGAATGTTCCAGGGCTGATCAATCATCCAGCAGGGGGGAAGAGGCACAGGGAGCAGCAGGACTCTGCCCTGAGGCTTGGTTCCAAAAGCAGCCACATTAACCCATTCCCGCCTCTCCGTGACCAAAATCCTGCCAGCACCAGCAGCTCCAAAGGCTTTGCAACTCACACTCTTCCACAGCACTTGCAGAAGGATTGCTGGGAAACAAAACCATTGCAAGATTTCCATCTGACCTCCTTTGGCTCCTTTCCCAGGACCGTCCTGCAGCAGCTTCAACTTCACCTTTCCCAAAAATGGCACTCCAAACCAAACCACACCAACAACACTGAGAGCTGACCTCTGCCTCTCCAACGCCAGGCTGTGACCCACACCCTGCCATTCCCACTCCTGCTTTGCTCCCAGTTTCCCGCAGGGAAACACCCGTAAGGCGCATCAGAGCATCCTGAGAGAGACCAACCCTGGCCAGCATCGAAGACAGACCAACCCCAGAGCAGCTCCTGGCCCTCCACAGCCACGGACAGGGCTCACCTTCTTCAGCCTGCCCGTCTTGGTGCCCACGAAGACCACGCTGTAGCCGTTGTAGACGTAGGAGGCCACGGAGGTCATGCGGTCGCGGCTGGAGGTGAAGAGCGTCACCCCGTCCACGGGCACCGAGCCCCCCAGGGGCTGGTTGATGTCCAGCCCGCAGAAGTTGTCGTCGATGGGGACTGGCTGGAAAGACAAGGTTTGGGGCAGCTGTGAGTGACACAGAGCCCAGGAAGGCCCCACACACTCGGGGTGGTGTGGAGGGAGCTGGTGGTGTCGGCAGCGGGGTGGGGGCCACAAATGTGTGGTGTCAGCTACAGCCACCTTACCCAGAGCTCCTGCAGCTTCCAGAGCCCGGGGTTGGGAGTGACAGAGACTCCCAGGAAACTGCACACTTTATTCTGCCTTAAAACCATCCCTTCCCTCATTGTCATCCCACTGTAGGATGAGAGCGTGGATTAAAGGGGAAGATGCTCTGAATTTATGGAAACTGAGGCACAGACCAGCTGATCCTACTCTGCAAACTTGCATTCCATTGGGGCAGGGATTGAACCCGGCTCTCCAGGGCCCCCACAGCCCCCACCCAGCCCCCCCTTACCGCTTTGGTGCACTGCACATCCTTGCCCAGCAGCCAGTTGAGCTCCAGGTTGCCCTCGCCCTGGTAGCAGGACTGCAGGCGCTCCTTGATGTGGGCGTTGACGGTGCGGATGGGGAAGGCGCAGAGCGCCGAGTCGTCGGGCGGGTGGTGGTACTGCTTCTGCCCCTTGGAGAAGATGGCAAAGAGCACGTCCTCCTGCGCCGTGATGTTGAGGGCCCTGGCCAGCACCTCCCCGGGCTTGGCCAGGTAGGCGGCCTGCAGCAGGCGGTACTCGGTGTCACCCCTGACGCAGCCAAAGGGCAGCGACACGTACGAGTGGAACTTGGGGTCGTCCTTGCACAGGCGGACGATGCGCGAGGTGTAGAAGAGGTCGCTGGCCGAGTTGATGGAGACGCCCTCGGGGGTCTCCGGCTGCACCGTCAGGAAATACACAAAGTTCCCGCTGGCGAAGCCGTAGATGTAAAAGATGTCAAAGTGCGAAACCAGGGCCAGCGTGTCCGAGGGGATTTTGATGAGGGACGAGACAAAGTCGCTGTGGAGCTCATAATCCAACATCGCTGAGGACTCGGGGTCCCGGGGCAGCTTGCGGCTGGACAGGGTGGGGAAATAATCCTGCTTGCCATCCACGGCCGTGCCGATGAAGAGCTTCCCGTCCTCGCCCTCGGAGCGCACGATCACCCCGTACATGGTGCCCGTCTTGTTGACGCTGGACAGGTAATGCTCCTTCTTGTGCGAGGGCTCCACCAGGATGAAGAGGTCATCGAGGCGCAGCAGCTTGCAGACGCCCTGGTAGAGGCTGCCGCAGGCCAGCAGCCGGTTCTCGGAGTAGTCGATGATGAGCAGCTTGTTGACGTTGTTGGTGAGCGTCAGGACCTCGCTGCAGGGCTGCACGATGAGGGGAGGGTAGCAGGACTTGTTGTCCTCCTCGGGGCCGGTTTTGTGAGCCACCAGGATGGTCAGGTTCCCCGAGAGCTTGTAGACCCTGTTGATGGCCCCCACGTAGACGGCACCGGTGCCCCGGTGCACCGTCAGGTGGTTGAACGTCCAGTCGCGGTTCTCCGAGTGGAAAGTGTTGAAGGAGGCATTGCTGGACACGTCCCGGGACAGCGATGCCAGGAGGAGGCAGAGCAGAGCCACTGAGCAGCCATCAGAGTCCAGTAGGCGAGGCCAGGTTCTCCTCTGATCCATCCTGGGAAAGGAGAGGTCCGTGTCCCCCGCGTGTGTCCTGAGCCCCAGCAACGTCCCTCACATGGTTCTGTGGAGAGAAGAACCACCCAGAGCCAAGGATTAGATCCCGTGTGCCCTGCAGATAAAATTCAAAGGAGGCTTTCTAATTACACAGTCCTTGAGATAAAGGGAGGATGTCTCTAAGCACAGCGAGAATTAAGCGAGTCCATAACTTAGTGGAGAGCAGTTCAGGCTTGATGCTTTGCCACTGTTTCAGCCCCTGCATCTTAATTTGTGCTGGGGTTTGGCTGTTTAGAACATGCTCTCCTCAGACAGGGAGGGGAGAATCAGCTCCAGCCCAAGACAAAGCCCGCAGCTCACAGCCCCAGCCACCCATCTGCAATCTTGGCTGAAAGGATGTCTCCTGCAGGGTGTGTTGCTGGAAGCAGCAGAGGAAATAAGAGCTGTTCTTTACCTTTAAAACCTCCCTGATTTAATTTGGGAACCTGAGGAAGAAGCCTCGTGCAGGCAAGCTCATTGAGCGCACACTGAAGGCGCTGACATCTCCCCTCAAACACTCCCCAGAGCCACAAGTGCCTCTCAAGCAGGTGCTTTTTAGGCAGGAGCTCCTTCACAAGGTACTTTCCTGCCAAAAAGCAGCTGCCACCAAGGTGGGAGCACACGGTTAGATCTGCCACCAAGCCCTGCCAGCAGGAGAGACATCACCAGTCTAGAGCAGCTGGCTTGATCTGACCACAGAGGTGTCTGAGTGCCAGAAAACCACCACAAAGTTCTCCTTTATCCCAAATTACACATTCCTGAGGTGCTCCAGGCTGGGCAGGCAAAGGCACCACTTCAGAGAACCCTCCCTCACCTCGGGGTCACCCCAGCTGAGGATGAGGATGAGGCACCACTCTGCACCCATCACATCTCACACACCCACAGGAACCCTGCCCTCTGCAGCTCTGAGCCCCCACTGCTGCTCCTGGTGTGGTTTAATTTGAATTTCCACCAATTCCCAGCCCTGCAGGGGCACTCTGAGCTGCGGTGTCACCCACAGCCGTTCTGTCTTTAGCCTTGTTCCTGCCAGGAGCGGGGACGGCTGTTCCTGAGAGGTGACAAAGGAGCTCTGTCCCTGCCTGTGCCTCTGACACACGACAGGAGACACGACAGGAGAGGCAGCCCTGATGGCTTTGTCATTCTGCTCAGGGACACATTGCCCCAGCTGCTACCCTCTCGCTGCCAGGCCCGGCATTCCGGCATTCCCACCTTGGCAGTTTGTCTGTCCTGGGGAGGACACGGGCCCTGCCACCCTCTTGCTGTATCACAGACACGTTTTATGGAAAATCCTTTCCTTAGGAGTTTTCCTCCTGAGAAGCTGAGAGGCCTCAGGAACAAAATGTAAACAATGGTTATCTGCTGCTGTGGAATGCAACAGGGTGGCACTGGATGAGCTTCAAGGTCCCTTCCGACCCAAACCAGTCTGGGATTCCCACTGGATTAAATGGCCCTGGATGAGCATCAAGGTCCCTCCCAACCCAAACCATCCCCGTGGAGGAGGCCAAACACCTGGGGAGTTAAACAGCAGCAAAATGGATGATTTTAACTCTCACCCTTAATACCATTTGATCATTAATTTTCCCTCTCTTTCTTTCTTTTCTTTTTTTTTTTTTTTCTCTTTTTCTGAAGAGAGTTTTAAAATACAGCCTCAGAAGCAATCTGCAGCTATTAGTAACGCAAGGTGAAAGAGAGAGTAAATTCAGGGACACAATATAAACCCAAGCAGCTGAAAGGCCTCAATTAGGCTGAAAGGAGTTATCTGGTATTTAAATAATTATTAGATTGAAGGAATAATCACAGGTCTGAGCCGATTTTTTCCCCCACTGTCATCCTAATGGAGACTATAATATTATTATTCAAATGCCCATGATTCTCATTGAGGGGGGAAGAAAAAAAGGCTCATTTAATCTCCATGTGACAGGGCTTCAGGAGGCACCATTAGTCATTTCTCTCATTTCAGCTGTCACTCACACACGGGCACCACAGTTTGTCATTAGTGGCATTTTGTGCAGACCCCCAGAAAAAAAAAAAAAGGAAAATTAAAGCCAAAACAACAAGAGAATCTCCTGTGGCCAATGACGGCTCAAAGGCACAATTCTGATGTCACCAGTGTGGCAGCTGTGTTTGCCTGGTGCTGAGGGGGCTTTTCTTGGGGGGTGGGGTTGTAAATCTGGTGAGCAGTGATTTACACTCAGCATGGCTGGGCCCTCACCCATCACCCCTCAGCTCCTGCTTTTGGGATATTTCACCCCTGCTCCCTCAGCTCCTCGTTTTGGGACATTTCACCCCTCTGGATGTGCCCCAGCCCCTCCAGGACACAGCAAACACCCCCAGTGCCTCACTGACCCCCCATCCCCATCCCCATCCCCACAAGCTTTTCCCTGCCTGTCCTTTCTCTGTCCCCGCGCCTCCCCCTGCCCAGAGGCCACCAGGGTCCCCCCCAGTCCCCACTCACAGGGAGGAGCAGATTGGGCCATAAATCCCACGCTGGCTTTGTGGGGGCTGTGATCCTGAACAGACCCTCCTGAGGAGTGACAGAACCAGGCAGGAGGGGCAGGGGGGCTGGGATTGCTCTGGGAGCTGGGGGTGGTTCTGCTCTTTTTGCTGTTTACAGCCCCATAAGGTTCATGGCTGGGAATGGGGACAGTGGCACTTTCCAAAAGGTCACCAGGCTGTCACAGCCCCCCAGCCCTGCCCAAAGGGTGACCAGGCTGTCACCCCCCCTTCACTGCCATCCCTGGGGGTCACCAGCCTGTCACACACTATCAGCACTGCCCCAGGGGTCACCAGCAGGCCAGGCTGCACATGACAAACCCTCAGGCAGGACAAACCCTCTGGCACAGCCCTCTCGCACCAGCCTGAGCCCTTCCCCTCCTGCTGGTCCATATCAGGTTTAGGAATGAGGGAAAAGCCCCACGTTTGGCCATTCCCTGCAGCAAGAGGGATCACAGGTGCTGGGCCCTCTTCCGTCCTGCAGCTCATTGGGAATTCTCCTGTGAAACCTTTCCAGGCACTGGAGCTGCTGCAGTGATTGATCCCCTCCAAGGAGTGACACTCAGCACACGTTTGTCAGCTGTGGAGGAAGACCTTGCCATAATTAATGAGGTTTGGGTTTAATTAGGCAAAAAGTCCGAGCCAAAGTGTCTGATGGAAGCTTCTCCAAGCCCTGGGATGTTTCCAGGTGGATCAGAGGTCTGGATGCTCAGGGCTGCCTCTTTGGCCAGGCCACCACAGCCACCACAGCACCCAGGAGCCTGACCCCAAGGGCAGCTACTGGCACCTTGGTGTGAATAACTGGAATTCTGTAACACAGAGCCACGAGGATGCCTCCCACCACCTCCTTTTGGCCTTTTAAATTTACGATTTTGACTCCAACAACAATAAGAACAAGCTGTAAATCACCGGTGAGGAGCCTGGTGTGGTTTCTGCAGAGGTTTCCCCACAGGGATGACAAATAACAAGCTTTTCCTAAAACACAACCTGAACACTTTGGGTTTTGGACCCAAAGGGTCCAGGTATTTAAATAATTATTAGATTGAAGGAATAATCACAGGTCTGATTTTTTTCCCCCACTGCCATCCTAATAGAGACTATAATATTATTATTCATACTCATACTCATATCCAGACTATAATATTATTATTCATACTCATATTCATATCCAGACTATAATATTATTATTTTTTGGACCGAAATGCAGCCTCCTGGCTGGCCCCGTCCCTGCTCTGTGCTGGCAGCCAGGGCAGGGCCCATGCCAGGAGCTGTGCCCCCTTTCCAGGGCTGTTCATTCCCAGGGCTGGCATCCACAGCCCTCTGAGAAAGAGTTAAGAGGGCAAAGCACAGCATTGTGATTATTGCTTCCTCCAGGCCTGGGACAAGGAAGAGGAGGGGAAGAACAGAGCCCAGCCACGAAAAGGCATTTCCCTGATAACAAACAACATCACAGCAATTATGCACAAAATTTGTCCGGAGCCCAGACATTTGTTTACACAGCACACACTGTGCAAAGGTCTCCCCTGCACCTCCCTCCTGTGCACACACACATCCCAACGGGTCCAGAGGAACAGAAAACCCAGGGGGGCCCTGCCCTGCCCTGAGCCCCAGGTTTGGAGCTGCAGATTGCAGGACAAGGACACAGCACACCCAGTGCCACCCCTGGCGCTGCCCCGGGTTTGCTGGACAGGCCTGGACAGGCTGTGCTCCTCAGTCCCCATCCCAGGGGGATCCAGAGCTGTAGGAGTGATGGGGGTAGGATGGTGGGGATGGATGGAGATGAGAGATCTCTGAGGCCAGGGCTGGAACTTGGGGTTTATTGCAAAGGGCCTGGGTGCAGGGCCCTGCTGGGAGCTGCCAGGCCCAAGAGAGGGAGATTGAGGTAAAGAGAGAGGTAAAGAGGGTGAGAGAGCAAGGTTCCTGTTACAATACAATAAATCTTCTGGTCGTGGAACTTGGGGTTTATTGCAAAGGGCCTGGGGGCAGGGGCCTTTTGGAACTTGGGGTTATTGCAGAGGGCCTGGGTGCAGGGCCCTGCTGGGAGCTGCAGCCACAGCTCAGAGCAGGCCCCAGACTAGAGAGGGGGAGAGAGGATGAGAGGGTGAGAGAGTAAAAGCGTAAGAGAGTAAAAGGGGTAAGAGAGTGAAGTTCCCGCTCCAATATAATAAATCATCTTCTGTGTTGGATATTCTAATTCTCACTAACCAATCTAGTACAACACACAAATCCTACAGCATTTCCATACAGCCTATAAGAATCATTACATTACCATACTGTGTTACATTTTAAACCCTAAAAACTCCTCTTTGGGCCCCTTCTGCCAAGCTGCAGGGTCTGCTCTGACCCTTGGGCCTGTCTGCAAGCAGAGGGTGTTGTTCCATCAAAAGGGGATCACCTTCAACTGGCCACACCATTGTTTTCCTGTTGTTCAGTGACTGAGGTATCCCAAAGCTTGTTTTCATTTCAATCTCGCTTATGGTTTCCACATTCTCAAAATCTTTTCCAGGCAATCTTATTGATAAGGCTTTCCTGCTT